AGTGGTCTGAAAGGGGAAGATATTGATCCTCGGTCGCCGGGGACAAACCCTAGGGGACGGTTTGGGGCAGTCACCGTCGACCGCGGGTCACTGATGTGAGGTTCGAATCCCACCTACCACGACTCCTTTTTGCAGATGCGAGTGATATTGTCTCCTGTGCCGCCTGCTCCTTCACTTGTTGCCCGACCGCAAGTCGCAGAGTGCAGGCTGACTCATTCCAGACCGTCGATCAGAGGTTGCAGGTACGTGAAGTAAGCTTTGGGCATCTGTCGTTCGTGAACGTTCTGATAGCTTCGTTCTACATGCTTAGTGCGCTGAACGTCGCAGCCCTCGTCAGCTTCGGCTGTCGAACTTGTCGATGACTCACGTATGTGAAGTGAGCTCCAAAGTCGAATAATGGCATTTCTGTGATAATGGTAGTGGTTCTAATGGCAAAATACTCCTGCAAACGAGCCGGCGCTGGTCTGCTGTTTGCACGAGTGATGCGAGTTTCGATTCCCGCCTACTACAGCCTTTTGTTTTGTAGCAGCAGATAGTGACCGGGCCTGCATGCGTGCTCGTGGTATCTCGCCCTGGTGAGCGTTGGTGTGGGGCAGCGATAAGTGCTATTGGTCAGCACGGAGGAGAGTGGATCCCTGCCTTGATGGGATTGCGGTCACTGGGAGAGAGCTTCTTTGAATGTTGTACGCTCACGTAGCAGTAGGATCTTCAACACTCCACCCCTCTTTGTACGGCACATCTTCCACCCTCAGCACTCCCTTCTGCAAATCGGCCATCACGCACTGATTCTTCCCCACTAGCACCCAATCATCCTCCTTGTACGTGCTCGGCTCACTCGCCACAATGAGATGCTGCCCATGCCCCTCCACATCCTTACCGCTGAAGCGCCCCGGCACATCCACTCCATCAGGGTGATCAGGGTACTTCCTGTTCAACGTGGTACCAGCCTTGGTGCTGTAGTATAAGCTCGGCGGCTCTTGCGAAGCGTGGTTGCGGAAGCGGTAAGCGATCAGCTTCGATCCGTCCGTGGTGCACAGATTCAAGCTATTGGGCGCCGCTTTCTTGCCCAGCAGTTTGAGCTGAAGCGTAATGAGTGTCGCGACAGTCCGGTGCATCGCCTCCGCCATCTCGTCCACGCTATACAGCTTCGTGAAAGCTTCCGCCTCCGCAGATGCAGCGGTAAGATACGTCATGTACAGCGCAGCAAGATGCTCTGAATCCGTCCCGCCCTGTATCCGCGAGAATACCGCCTCACTCATCTCATGGCACAGCGCGCGCTTGATCGTGCTGAAATTGGCTACGACGCCATTGTGCATGAACGCGTGCCTGCCGAAGATGAACGGGTGGTTGTTGACGATTGCGATGGCGGTAGCGGATGCAGCGCGGATATGTCCGAGACAGCATCTCGTCTCTGTGTTTGCGCATATACTCCGGAAGTTGGCATCGTTCAGCGGACTCTGCACGGTCTTGTATACCGCTGGAAACAAGCCTTCGGCTTGACTCCCGTCGGCGGACTGCCCACTTGAGCCCAGCTCGAAGTCGGCGAAGGCTGTAGTGTACCAGGCGACCCCGAGACCGTCAAGATTGTAGAGGCTATTGCGGGCGGTGGTCAGGTGGTCGGCGGAATGCAGGTCGGAGGGGTTATGGGCGATGAGGCGGGGGAGATAGTGTTCGTGCACTTGGCGCGCGAGGGCGTTCGCGGGCGTGACGAGAACATCCTCGAGGAGGCAAGGTTCGCTGGGCGAGATGTAGGCGAACCAGCGGCACATCTTGGTGGAGGGTAATGTGGTGGTGTGAGATGGTGTTAGGCTATCCAGTATCTATTTTCGAGGAATGCTCCAAGATCAGACAAGCATGCACGGCGGTGAACATGGCGCATCTTGACAGATCTGCGGGTGACGTGAGATTGCAGGCGCGGAGCTGCACGCTCCAATGCCGAAAGGCAGCTTCCTTGGCAGGTACCCGCAGAGCCCCACAAAGCTTGTCTGACAGCTTGGGACCCACATCTCGATCGGGCAGGCACAGCAACATCACCACACTCCATCTCAATCATCTCTGTCCAATCGTCAGCATGGCCACCGTTCCCGCCGCACACCACCAGTCACAACTCCCGCCCCCCGTTGGCCTCCCCTTCGACGAGCGACAGGAACCACCGATCCGGCTGTTCCCGCTTAGCAACTACACATTCGGCGTGAAAGAGACACAACCAGAAGAGGACCCTTCCGTCAAGGACCGCCTGCGAAGGCTCGAGGAGCACTACGAGAAGCATGGCATGCGACGCACCTGCGAAGCCGTGCTGATCTGCCACGAGCACAACCACCCGCATGTACTCATGCTTCAGATCGCGAATGCCTTCTTCAAGCTGTATGCAACACATCGGTCCTAACCATGCGAAACCCGCGACTGACCTCTCCACAGCCCCGGCGAGTACATCCCGCACGATGTGGACGAAATTGCCGGACTGAAAACCCGCCTCCACGACCGCCTCTCCCCGCCCTCCACCTCCTCCCTCTCTGCACGGGACACCCCGGAGTCAGCGGACTGGACCATCCATTCCACCCTCGCCGCCTGGTGGCGTCCGAACTTCGAGACTTTCATGTACCCTTAACTCCCGCCTCACGTCACCCGGCCAAAAGAGGTCAAGAAACTCTACCTCATTGAGCTCCCGCGGACGAAGGTGCTATCCGTGCCGAAGAACATGAAATTGCTTGCGGTACCGCTGTTCGAGTTGTATGACAATAGCCAACGGTATGGCCCGCAGTTAAGTGCGATACCGCACTATCTGTCGAGGTTGAGATGGGAATTCGTTGATGAGGAAGGGGAGGTCGTGAGCTGGACGCCAGGTGGCAAGGTGGATGGGAGGGTGGCGACCAAATTGCTGGCAGGTGGAGATGAGGTGATGAAAGATGAGAATGGATCGTAGGGGTCGCCGAGACGTCGCTGGTTTGATGCCTACGCGTGTTGCGTTCAGAGCGAGGCGAATGGAGTATTCTCGGGCCATGTACTGCATGAGATCGCGATGTTGACTATATGTGAGGGGCCGGAGCGAATCGCGGTCTGCGCGGCAGAGCCTCGCTACCTGGACAGAAACGACTTCTCCACCGTCCACGCACATCAGCTGGGTCCACCTCCGTCCCGCTCGACCTCTGTCTGTTCACCATCCACGACCTCTAGCGGTGACGCGGGCAGCTGTGGCGCATCGCGAAAGAACCAAGCTGGCCAGTCTCTGACGATCAAGATCACAGCTAACACGCAGCCAACAACGAAGACTGCAATGAGGAAACGGAACATTCCCTTGGGACCCCACATCCTCGGGTGTCTTACCTAAGAAGTAATGGACCTTGCTGCGATTGGGATGGCTGTGGCAAGAAGAGGGACGAGTGCAGAAGGCTCACGCGTAGTGCTGTGACGAGAGCGCAGGCAAAAGGACTGCGTGGCTGGCATGGTTGTGCAAGCTTTCATCGGGACACCGGGACTATGACACGTCTGAGAGACCAAAGTTGTCCTCTCTGCTCGATCCGCATCTGCATTCCGGCGCTGCCTCTTTCGACGGCCAGGCATGGTCGCTCTTCCGCATCCACGAGAGCATCAACGACGAACACTCCAGCCACGTTTGCTGAATGAGTCAAGCTATCCGCCGCTGCCGAATGCCGAGCCATCCAGGCGACCGTATCAGCACAGTCCATTGGCGCCCTTACCGTGAAGCTCAGGCCCTGCTTGGGCATCCGGATGAGTCCGCCCGAGCCGATCCTGGCGCCCATCCGCCAGCTCCATGCTCTGCGCATCCGTCTCTGAGCCCCGTGTCGATACATTCTCTTGGTCCACCGATTCCATGCCCTGCGCATCCGCGGCCGCTTGCTGCGCTGGCTCGCCTCCCTGGTCTGCTGGCACCGTGCCCTGCGTTCCCGTGGCGTCACTCGACTGTCCTCCCGACCCCTCGACCGGTATTACCGACTCCGCCACCCGCGTCTCCGAGCTCCCCGTCTCCGACTGCTCTACCGCCTGATCTCCCAGGTCATCCAACTCCGTGCCCTGCGCCTGCGGATCCGGCTGCTGCGCCGCCGCCGTCACTCGTCTCCAGCAAGACCAGGAGAACTCCCATGTGAGGATGAAGCAGAGGAGAACACCCGCTAGGAGTACACAGCCAATGATGAAGAGGGTCTTGTACCAGATCATCTTGCTCGATCAGTCGTGCTGACCAGGAGGCGATGGACGGGAGTCGTGTGAGGAAGCTGGATGGAAGGGCTTTGGCGCTCGAAGCAGAGGGATGGTAGGATATTTGATGCAGAGGACGGCAGGGACGGAAGGCGATAGAAGCACCGTGGTGGTTTTGTCCTGCCTGCTCGGTCCCACGAGCAGAGGGGGCCCTGAATGGCGCAATTGCGTGGGAGAAAGGATGTGCATTGACCATGGCTGTTTGCGCCGGGAGATCAGTACCGTAGGCCACCACATCCGACGGACCGCAGGGACGGGCAGCGGATGCAGAACGCTCGAGCATGCTCGATGGCCTTCGCAGGCGCTCGTACCAGATGTGGAAGCTTCGTCGGATCTGCCGTGTGCAATCTGTCTCCCCGCTGCTCCCTCTGATGGCAGACGGCCGTGCGGCGTCATTGACGGACAAGGACGAGGCGTTGGTACCTCATGGACACAGTGCACATATGATGACCCGTTGGCCACGCTGTTGGCTTGGAAGCGTTGGTCGTCTGCGAGATGGGGATGGCGACGTCTTTGGGAAAGAGATGCGCGCACGACTCACGACCGTAAGCGGCCAGATCACCGGCCCACGGGTTGGACACGGAAGCAGAAGCCACGATCAATCTGACGACCTCGCAATCGCCCACCCTGATCGGCTACATGTAATTTTTGGGACTGAGGAGAGGCGAGTAACACCAACAGATGTAATCCACTGTTTAGCTAAGGAAACGATTGACCACCTACAGACAGTGGCACTCCCCTGGGCCTGACGACACGCGGCAAAAGTGAACGCCGCATCAGCGAAGTGTGGTAGGCGGGAATCGAACTCCGCATCACTGTTGGTCGTGCCACCGGATTGTTGGAGCGACACCCGATTTGGTGGGTGACTGCTCCGGATTGGTGGTGGCCAGCCAACAGTATCTTACCATTAAGACCACTACCACAATGTGAATATTACGTGACCGGAAGATCACTTCACGCCTTGTAACCTTTTAGGAAATGCCGACATTGCTCCGGATCGCGGTGCCCTATTCCACACATGGGCAGATTGAGAGGAGAGAGTGCTCACGTCTGACAAAGCGGAGAGTGCCAGGCGGGACGCTGGTCGTGGGTACTTTCAGGGGGAGGAGGACCTTGCGACGACCGTCCAAACGCACGCTGGGCTACCATTGTAGGAACGTGGATGGGCAAAAGGCTCGGGTGTCCATGAGCAGGCGGTCGTACGTGGCGGGCACGAAGACGGCGCTAGACTAGTACTAGATACTCTAGCCTGTCCTCCAACACTTCAAAGCCTCCTGATGGGGATCGGTATCCGTCCTAAGCAAGACCTCGATGCGTGGCGCAAGGTTACGCTACACGGTCCAGTCGCATGACACATCAATTAGCCACCGCTGGTGCAGCGTCGCCCCTTCCCCTACCGCGTCCAGCACCACGGGCCCTACCAGCAGCCCTACCACGCCCACCCCTGCCTCGATCGTTGTTGAGATCAGCGGGAGGAGCCACGTTGCTGTAGTTCTGCGGCCTGAATGTCGGGTTGTTCCTGACCACACCCTCCGTCGGATCGCTATTGTCGATCACCGTGAACCCTTGCCTATTTCCTCCACCACGTACACCGTTGGGTGCTCCACGGCCGCCGCGAGGCGTGAAGTTCCTCGCTTCGCCGTTCATGCCGCCGTGGCCAGGGTGCCCGTTCTCGCCTGGCTGCTGGCCGCCACGCCCCCTTGGAACGAGGCCACCTCTCGGTAGGCCGTTGCCCATCTGGCCCGCCACAGCACCCCTGAAGCTTCCGCGTAATGGCGCCGGCGCACCAGCCTGCCGCAACTGCGGACCACCTGGCTGACCATACCCGTTACCCATCCCCGCGCTCGGCACATGCTGCCCAGGTCTGAGAGGCAAGTACTGCTGGCTGGGCACTCTGGCTTTACCTGCCGACGACATGGCCACAACCTGCTTCTCGCTCAGATTCAGCACGGCATTGCTAGGGACCGTGCTGCCTCGGAACGGCGAGCAGCGCCCATTCAACGTAGTCGCGGACATGAACGTGCTGTCGAATACAACGTCCAGCAGTGTCTGCCGACTCGTGCGCGTCAAACCCACGACCGTGCCGCGCATAGCGATAGGGACGCGTCCTGAGTCCTGCACGTACACCACGCGGTCGCCGAGTCGGAACTTCTGGTGCTGAGTGCGCTGGTCGGCGTCACTGGGCTTCAGCAGCGCCATGCGCGGCACTCCGCCTATCTTCTTGCCAGAGATCTCACTGCTTGCCGCCGCGTTACGATCAGCCGCCTGCTCGATCTGCAGCACCACGTCGCCGCCCAGCTGCTCCGCTTCCAGAGGCACGCGCTCGAAAGCCTTCGTCTCAACGCTCTTGAGCCAGGCGCCGATCTCCTTCATCTTCGCCTTGGCTTCCGTGGGATCCGGATAAAAGGCTGTATCTTCCCATCCGTCGCCTTGCGGGTTGGCGCTGATGGCCGCGATGAACTCCGGGAAGCGCATCATGTACTGCACCAGCAGTTCGACAGCTTTCGGGCTGTACTCCCACCCGGATGCGTTCTTTCGGCTGTACCCCAACACCTTGAGCTTCTTCGCCTCGAACTTGAGGTTCAGACCCAGATTCAGTCTCAGTCCTGAAGAGTTGACGTTGAACGCCGAGGTCAGCTTCGACAGCACCAGAGGATGCAAATGCAGCTTCCTTGCCACGGCATACGACGGTGAGTACTGCGCCGCCCTCTCCGCTTGCATGACCATGTCACGACCGAACTCCGCCTCGCGTGCCATGAGCATGCTGACCCAGACCTCAGCCTTCTCTCCCGGCTGATGACCCGTGACCTCCATCGGCCTCCCATATGCCATGTCGCCGAGGAAGAATGCCTTCGTGCCAATCGGGAACTCTTCATCGATAGCGACCGCTTCCTTCTCCAAGAAGCGCTGGTCTTCGCTGATGACATGATCCACAATCGACTGCGTCGCAAAGTCGGGCTCCATGCCCGGTATGGGAGCGTACTCCTTGATGGTCGCGCCGTCTTCTGTCCTGCGCAGACCAACGAGCATGTCCACCGTCACCAGGCTCTCGACCGTGCCAATGACCATCCCTAAGCGCTTGGAATAGGTGCTCTCGATGCGATTCGCTTTTCTCTTCCAGTCCGAGAGACCTTGCGGTGGATGCGGGACTTGTACCACGTTTGCGCCACTGGCCGGCTGATTCGGGTTCGCCATGCGGTATGAGAACATCTCGTCGCTCACACCCGTCACCTTGCCCTCGGACAAGAACGG